CGACAACATACCGTGACCCTATCCCCTCCGCCTATTTCCCCACAGACCTCCACTACAACAAGGGAGTGAGTAACCCACGACCCTGACAAATAGCACCATTCTACCGCAGCTTTAACCTCTACGCCACAGCTAATAAGTACGGCTATACAGGCGGAGTAGTGCTCTAATTGCAGCAGTGTTACGCTTGCCTTCGCTGATCAGTTCATATTGCAGGATTGATGGTACTGTAACAGTTTCTACAGCTTTTGTTGCTTGGATAATGCATTGCTTCGTGTGACATGGCAAACTTCAACCCCAAATTCTTGAATTTTAGATCCGTTTGCAGGACCTCTCTAGCAAGCTCTTGTCACTTGATATGGCACGTTCAATGCTGCCAATGAGATTGTTCGCAAGTACATATCTGCAAAACTGTCGAACAAAACCTGTTGCATGTCCCAGTGCATTCTCGGACGTGGCAAAGTATCTATGATCGTTTCAAATAGGGACAATTCATGAAACGATTGCAAGTGCTCGCATCTATTTAAAGATCACTTTCACCTTTCATGCTAATCATGCAAGTCTTGATTTTGCGCCATAACGACATCATGGGACGACTAGTCGTTGCCCTTCTAGTGGGGTTGACTGTACTGTGGGCACCACGAACGAATGCTGCTGGTATGTAAACCTCCTCTTGCTCCTTCTGACACCTAACCTTGATTGAAGACGTGTGCACGGACCCGCGTCAAACGTGCGACCTCAACACGGCCTGTGCGCTGGACGCCGCCCAACTGCCCACTGGCATGAAATCGTTTTGTGCGCTCAGCACGACGGTGTCGCCTTGCAAGCAGTGCACGGGGTCTGGGCAGAACTGTTTCAACGCGCCTGAATGCCAAGGTAGTAGTCTATTACAATGATTGTCATGCTCAATAAGTTGCCCGTAGACTCGATGTTTCTGTGCAACTACCTCACGGCTGCCCAAAAAGCGGCCCTGGCTCCGGCCCACCCGTGTTTGAATGTGCCGTGCCAATTGAACACCAACAGCCCCTCGTGCACCAACTCGGTACGAGGCTATCGACATGAAAAAAGTCCTTGCTAACAACACGATAGGTGTACCAGTATTGCTGTGTCCCTGGGTCCCCCAACTGCACCAACGCTGCACCCACGCCGTGTACCCCCAGCGGGTGCAGCTCGTTCATGACGGGCACTTCCGCGACGGTCGAGTACACCAAAGTCGCGTGTCCGTTTGGCGACAGCGCGTTCACGTGCACGCACCCCGAGTGCAACAACACGTACATCTACCAAGATATTGTCAACACGTTCGCCGCCAACCAGGGGTGCTCGGGAGACCAATGCATTACAAACTATGTACGAGCCAC